AACCCACTATCAATTCTGCTTTCTACATTGTTTTGCAAAAACAATCTGTTAGTTTTTTGATAACACTGTGTGTACTCTGAAGACTACTGATAAACTGTTGAATACTTTACCTAGGTAAAGGCCAGAGAAGCATAAAATGGATCCTGTTCTGCTTCAGGCTTCATCACCAACTTCAGGCTGAAGCCTTTATACTCATGGCATCACAACCAGGACAGAGATCAGACTTTAGGTGAACGAAGTGGAGGGAATGTCTAGCAGATAATAGTGTTCACTACTGTAAAGTAATTGAGCCCAAGCCCAAAATTTTCCAAGGCATAAACTTCCATCTCTACTTTACCTGTCTCCCTGCCTTCAGCAAAGCTCAAAAAAACCCAACAAAACAAATCCAAACTAAGGCTTACCTTCTGCACATGAGCTTTCACCACTAGCCCTGGCAATAAATTAGACAGCGTCCAGTTCTGTTGCTCTGTTGCAAGGGATGCAGCAACCTCTGATCGATCAACAGACAAACGGACCACTCTTCCCTCATTCTTTACTTCCGCAATGACACAGTTCAGGCTCTGGCCTATTTTCAAGTCAAGCCCTACAAAGACAAGTCACAGCATAAAACCTCCACCAGGAACACTCAGGGATTCCCTTCCACTCTTCCCAAAGCTTTTTCAGAGTTCCATCTACTTTAAAAAGCTAGAACTCCTCTCAATCTAAGTGAAGTCTATTGTCAGTAGGGATGAATAGGCTTGGAACAGTAACACAGTCTGCCAGAAAACAGGCTGAAGCCCAGCGGCTTGTTGCAGACCAGCCACAAAACGACTGTCTTCTGCAACTCGCTAAGACTCCACCCTGACCCAATCTCATTGAGGTGCACTGACATCACAGATACAACAAGCTTTAATCTCTGCCATTCCTCACCTCCATTTCAACCTTAGCAGCTCCCCCTGCACTACAACTTACCTCTCTTGACTGCTTTGATGTAATTTTGGGCTTTCTGATGAGGCAGGAAAGCGTGAGTTCCACTGACTCCAATATCAACGAGGTAGCCATGGTCTTCCACACTAGACACAAAGCCAGACAGCAGCTGTTGGGAAGGAAGCACTGCAATTCAGTAACATGATAAAACAGCTGGGTCTTCAAAGAATGCACATCTGGTAAGAGATATCCCATTCAAGTACTCACTTGTTTCATAAGGACAGAGAACTGAGTTTTCCAGAGCATCAGAAAGAATACTCCAGTCTTTCTTATTACACAGCTCATCTGGCAGTGGGGTCTCAACTCTACCCTTATCCAACTATGCATATATGGGGGTTCACAAACCAGTAGGGAAAAAAATTGGGATGCTCAAAAATAGCAGCTCTGATTGCAGGCACATACAACTGCAAACACAAAAACTAAACAACTAAGCATCTCTGAAAGGCATGTTAAATATTATTCTCTGTATAAATAACAAAGAAACCTACCCAAAAGGAAATCATTAAAAAACTTGCCCATATTGAAACAGAATCGGGTGAATGCATTTCATGAGTGATAGCCTGGAACCCAAACACAATAATGCCCTCTCCTCCCAGGTCTCTTCACAGTGGGAACAGCTACATGTTCTGCCCTGATCCCATGCAAGGACAAACTGAAATGTTCCCCCATGCACTGTGCAAGAGGCACCTCCAAAGCCTAGAGAGGCTGTGACAGACCCAGAACACGTACCATGCCCGATGCTAATGTTGAAGCATTCAGACCTTTATTGACCTTCTTGGGGTCAACTGATAATTTGATACTCCGACGTCCATCAGCACTTTTCTCAACACTGGTCACAATGCACCTGACCAGTGTCCCTGGAGAATACATGTCCATGAGTGAATTCAAGTCCTGCCCAACAAGATGATCAAGAGAGAAACATACAAATTTTTCAATATTAATTAATGTAAGAATGCCAGAATTTGTTACTGAAGTAGCTTTTGACATCCAAGTCCTGCTTCTTTGTCAACACTATGATAAAAGGCAGGAAATGCCACAAACACCAGCATCTCAATATAGACGCAGGGATGACACTATGTGATGTTAGCAAGACTGATAGGCTTTGCTTTAAAAGGAATACTGTGTGGGCCAGAGTCAGGAAGTTGCAGCTGAGGAAACATTTACAGAGCCAACAATGACCCTAACCTCACCTACTTCTTTAGCAGAAAAAAACACCACCACCAAAAGGCCAGTGTACCTGGCAGATCTCACATTCCACAACACCTGGGGAAAACTTACAGAATACTGGCAGCAGAGAGATGGGGTAGCAGATTACTCCACCCTCTTTCTACCTAGCAACCAGCATTATGAGGAAATTGCAAAGTTTGCTTGGAAAAGCCAGTTCCAAATAAGGTCAGTTTACATTAGCTCTGTGCAGCAGCACGTTGCACGCAACAACACACAACTAAACTGCAAGGACTGTGCTACTCCCTCATGCCCCAGAGAAACACTTGCACCCTCACATCATTTTCCAACCACTTCCCTAACTTCTTCCCATCATTGCCTAGAGCCAGGGATCAGTATTTAGCTTCAGCAGCATATAGGCAACACAAGTTTCTTCATGTTCAACAGGCTGTCTACAAAGTTCAAGGATTATTTAGCCAAGGCTAAGGCACTGCAGGCAGTCAAATTCAAGTCAGATGCAAGACACCAGAAACCAGACTCCTAAGCAAGACCTCAGAGTTGGTTCTGCAGTATTATTAACATTCCCTAGCTCCCAGGCACAAGTCATAGCCCCAGTCCAAGGTCTCACCTCTAGGAGTTCTCCTTGGGCCACTTGCTTGCTCAGCATTTTGCTGTAGGCATCGCTGATCTGTGTGACGGGCACAAATCCTGAAAGTCCACTGGGCAAGCTGATCACTAGCTCATAGTCACTGACCTCTTTTATACAACCAAGGAGCAGCATCCCCTCACAGAGCGCCTGTGAAAGCGGAGAGCATAGCATACGGTGAATATCTTGGCAAGTCAGTGATGACAGAGTGGTAAACACACTTTTGTCCCAAATCAGGGATATATTTTACAGGTTTAGTGAGAGAGAACATGTCATTTTTACATAGCCCAGAAGAGAGATGCACAGAAAATCAAACATTTATCCACACACCTCAATTGTGAGTGGTTCAATATTCAAAATACTGTCTTTAGCAGCAGCTGTTTTGTCTGCCTTAAACTTTTTCTGCTTTCCTTGATCCCTTCGGCTCCTTTTTCTTTTCTGGGATTGTTCTTCATGGTGAACCTAAAACACATAGTAAGAAAAGAAAGAAAAAAATAAAAGTGAATAAAGAAACAAACTTTACACTAAGGCAGAACTTTGCTGTCAGGAATAAAATTAGAAGAAAATACTAGAATTGGAGAAACAAAGAGAACAACCTTGGTAACTGCTATATGTCTACATGCAAGTCTTCCAAAATATCTTCTCTGGGCTGAGGCTGATCATTTATAAAACTGTGAATCTTGGGAATGGAAAACAGTGGCACGAGTGATCTGTGCCACACTCTACTAACAGAAAAAGAAAGATGAAACTTAGTCTCTATCCACTAACACCAGCCTTACTACACAAGCCACTCAGGATAAGATGCTTGTGGAAAGTTTAAAACCTAAAGCCTGACAGATAATTTTGACTGAAATTTTCTGTTATCACATTCAACATGCATCAGACATCAGGGATCTTTAAGAGATCAGGAGAAAGGTGTATGCCAGCAGTTATCTCTTTCTGGAAGTCTCTTTTACAGTTTAATATAGAAGTAAGGGACAGGAAGGGTTGCAAGTCATATTCTGACAGTGGAAGAGCTCTGAGAAGAGTTAATGAAGTACACACAAACAACATACATCAAACAAATTGTCCCGCTCTAACTTTGGGTCAGGGGTGTTTCCCTCTGTGGGTTTTTTCTGGGTGCCTCCTCGAGGGAAGTTTTCTTCCATGGATGCCATGCTTTCACTTCTATAGTACAAATGACAAAATAGAGTTTAAATGTGCATGTTACACACATTCTTCACAAACACTGAAGAGACATAAGCATAAACTACACCCGAACTAAAAATTCACACAACTATTTTACAGTTAGTCAGTGACAAAACAGAAACTTGTGTCCAAATGTATTTAACATTTGACTACACTGACGCACTGCAATGGTCCATCTAAATACGTGCACCCCTAACGCTTTTTACTACTGTCCAATTCTATTAGAGTGACATATTATTTTTTTAAGGCATTTGGATGCACAAGTATTCATAAAACTGCTTTAACCATAAGTTTTCTGAACAGATCTGTATTATGCTCAGTGAACAAGCCGAAATTACCAGCTCCAGTCACCATGGAGAAAGCTCTGAGTGAAACACTAAGTAAGCTTGGTCTGTATTTTTAATTTTTGTATATCACCCTTAAAGGTTAATATAATTTAATACATCTTTGTGTAAGCTATATCTATATAAATTTAATAGGTGTGTTTAACCTTACTATGTTTCAATCAGTAAACACCACCTTATTTATTCGGTCATGATTCAGATGCTATTTGTTACTTTAGTCAACAGTACCTCTACAGAGATCAGCACTGAAACACCAAGTTGACAAATTTAAAGCAGTCTTTTAGACACATAAAGCTCCTTTAAACGTGAAAGCACATACTAAACTAAAGTTCACCAAGGCACGCTTCGTCATAGGGCTCGCTAAGCGACAGAGGCGGTCCGGCAGCTGCTCCACAGCCGGTAACTGAGCACCGGCCACGCCACGCAGACTGACCGGGCAGGGCTGGAGCTCTGCCCGCGGCACCCTTACCTCGCCCGGCCGCTGCCGCTCCGGCCCCGCGGCCCCGCACCTCCCCGCACCTCACCTCCCCTCACCTCCCCTCGCCGCCGCCGCCGCCGCCCGGAACGCGGGCCCGGAGCCGCGCGCGGGGAGCCAGCCCAGAGCCGCACGCGGGACCAGGGGGAAAGGGCAAGCGGAAGCGACGAGGCGCTTCCCGGCCCAACCAGGGGGGAGAGGCGCGGGGAGAACCCGCCTCCCACCAGGGCCGTGCAGCCAATCCGCGCTGCCCGTCGTGGCTGCGCGCGGTGCGCGGCTGCTGCCATTTTGTGGGAGGGCGCTGGCGAAGGGCAGAACGCGGCGGCGGCGGCCTCGGCGGCGGAGGTACCTGGGGCACCCCTGGGGCCTGCAGGGTCGGGGAGCCACGGCCCCCGCCGCACCCCCCCCCGCAGGGCTGCGCCGCCGGGCGGGAGAGCGGCTGTCGCTCGGGGTGCCCGCGACCTTCAGCCCTGTGTCCCTTCGTCGCTGTGTCCCTTCTCCCGGCCTGAGGCTAGGGAGCGCCGGGGTCGCGGCTGTCTGCGCCGGCGGGCTGGGGCTGGGGCTGGGGCTGGGGCTGGGGCGAGCGCGGTAGCTGGTGGCGGCCGGTGTCAGGGCAGCTGGCGGGTTGGGCCGCGTCTGGCAGGGGCTCCGGGCTTTTTCGAAAAAGGAAACTTGTGTTGTGATGTCTGGGCTCTGGGCCGTCCTTGGAAGGTCGCAGTGACCCTTCTCCAGGCTTTTGCATCAGTCAGGCATAAGATGAGCTTGGCTTTCCAAGTCATTCACGGCAAATGTTATGGGAGTTTGTTCTGTTAAGATTTTTATCTATTACATGGTCAATTCGGGTACAGTCACACTTACCTGATTATATACCAGAGATACAGCACTGGATTGGATTTGCGTAAGAGCTATGTTTATGAATGTAGCACCTGCTGTAGTAGTTTCTTGTATCACTCTTCTGGGGTACTGGTGGCCACAGCAGCTGCCTGATTTGGTAGGTAACTGTATGGTGTTGTGTGCTTCTTTTTGGGATGAGTTACAAGATAAACAACCAGTGTTTATCCTAAACATAAAACCCTCTTAAGCATAAGAAACATATACCTCTAACCATTAAAAAGAAAACTCTTTTGCTGTAGGGGTGATCAAACATTGGAACAGGTTCCCCAGAACAGTGTGGAGTCTTAATCTCTGAAGATATTAAAAACCTGAATGGATGTGTTCCTGAGCAACCTGCTTTGTGCAAGTTGGGGTTGGAGTATGCAATCTCCAGAGTGCCAACCTCAACCATTCAGTGAATCTGCAATTATGCTACTGTAGCCATGTAGCTTTTGTGTTAATGAACTTCTTACAGTAGATCTGAAACTCTGGCCCACACACAGACAAAACATAGAAGTGTGCCCTCCTGTACTTAGTGTTTTTGTTGTTCCTGGGAAAGTACTTTTGAGGCTTTGTAGCTGGCTCAAATAACTGATCTAGCTGAAAAATAATGGGAAAAAAAAAAAAGTATTTTTATCTAGATCCGTGAATACTAGGGTGGGCAAGTAAGATGCAATAGAAATGTGCAACTGGGAGCAGGGCAGTTCTTGTTAATAACACTTGCATTCAAATATGGTGTAAAAGTTGAAGCATTTTGAATCACAAAAGAAAGTAGCGTTCTAGTCTGAATCTTGTCACTAAGTTTTTGAGTATGTAATTGAAGCTGCTTCTTAGCTGAACTGATGAAGATTTATCTTAATTAGGTATTACAAATTCCTGAACAATTGGTATAAATTTGCCAGTGTTGAATGGTTGTGTAGGCAGGACTGGCAGGTCTCTATAGGTACTTTGAGGAATTTTTCCTTTTACAATCCTGACTTCCCCCCTCCCCCCCCATGTTTAAACTTGGTTGAATGAACTCTGAAAATCATAAATGTTCTTCCCTTCAGAACCCCTCATTTGCTTATCTGCTCGTGTCACCTCTTTTGTCCCTTAAGATACAGTGCTCTGAATGTGCCTGTCCCTTGTGCATATCCACTGTCTGTTGAATGTCCTGAAAGCAGATTTAATAGCTGATAGTGAAATTACTAAATCTAGTGTAGAGATGAGTTTGATTTTTCTGTTGATCCTGTCCAGCTGAGTTGAAATGAATTAACTCTCCTGCATTGCTTGTTAGGACAAGCAGCCATGGCTGGACATGACTCGGGATCTCAACACCAGTTCACTGGATTTCAGAAGTACTTCAATTCCTACACCATCACAGGCAGGAGAAATGTATGTATTATTTATATAAACTTTTGTAGTCTAGTATAATGGTGTGCTCTGGGTTTTAGACTGAAACTAAACTTAACTTTTATGTTTTCCAGTATGTAATAGCAACATATGCAAGTGTTGCAATGCTCATCTTGTATTTCAAGCTTAGACCTAAAAAGAAAACTCCTGCTGTGGCAGATAAGTAAATGGTAAGTGGATGGTGTTCTTCCAGGACCAAAACACTTCAATGCCAGCCCAGGAAGAAAGAGTGCCAAAGCACAATTTGCTAATAATACAATGTAATTAGAGAGAGAGAGAGAGAAACACAGGCATGCAAACTTCGTATTTATCATTTTAAACCTTGACTAAGCTATAGCATCAGCTTATTTGGGGGCATTCTGAATGAAGAAGGTTGTTAAAGGGGGATGCAGAAAATACAGGGTACCAGTATTCTTTCTGTTCTGACATAGTAAGTGGGACTAGGTACAGCATGCAGGGAGGAAGAGTAAGCAAGAAAGGAGGAATGGAAGGATGTTGCATCGAGCTTTGCCTACAATTATTAGGTGCCTCTCATCTGACCTTTTCCTGTAAAATAGGGATACCTGTTGCCCTGTAGGTTATTGAAATAGTAATAAAGTAGTACTTGTGGACTTACTTCTTAGCTGTATTATAGAATTCCAAGCAGAGATTAATGCAGTCTGTTAAAACCTTACTTTGAACACAGTAAAGGAGCATCATACAATGGAACAATGTATGTTGCAGTTGTATCCAATTATGCAAGACCCATATAGAAGTGATTGGACTTGTTCTTGTATAGCAACAATGAAGTGTTGCAAAATTGTAGTCACTTTCAAATACAGAATTTCCACTGAAATGGCATTTTGAAAAAACCTATGGGCTGTCCTCATAGTCTACAAAAAGGGGTAGAAACCAATAATCTTGAGCATCGTTGTGTGTTAAAGGAACATCAGTCATTTCTTCCTGGGTGTGCTGAAATTTGCCTGCTTTTAACTAAAATTGTTTGGGCCTGGGGAAGGGGGATGCTTAGTTACTAGTAGTAACACTGTGCAAGACTTGTTATGTTTGATCTTTCTTCTCTCAGCAGGTTGCTGGAGTGTTTGAACCTCCAATCCGTGTCAACATAATGCAAGCTCATGACCTGTTGTGACTAATAAAATATAAATAATTATTTGGTTTTTGGGAAATATGAAATGGTGCAAAAAAAAAGCATAAATGTGGCATTTTGCTTTTTTTTCCCCTCTGTCAAAAATAGTTATTTGTCATGGAGATGGAGTAGCTGATTCCTGTCTCTACTATCTTAACTAAACTCTTCTGCTGTTATAAAACATCCTGAAGTGTCCTGAGCATTGGTAGTAACCTAGGAAGGACCTCAGCAGCATGACGATAATACCAGCCCAGATCTTACAGCTGATCAAAGCATCTCTACACTTCTCTGTCATAGTGGATAACAGTAAGCCACTTGCATGGTTTGCAGTTACCTCGTTGCTCCCATTTTTTTGCATTCCAAGCTAGCAGCTTACATAGAAAAAGTGACTTCACTACTGTTAATACAATGCAGATTACAACCTCTGCCTCCGTTGTCTGTGTTTTGCATAGAAAACCTCCTAAACTAGACTGATCAAATTATGGTATTTGAGCTTTTCCTGTTACTGGCCTCCCTTGCAGAGGTAACTGCCAGAAAGGAAATGGCTTACTTTGCTGATGTTAAGCTCTCATAACTGCATGTTCATAAACAGTGGCTTTAGTTCAGTGCTTATTTTTCTTGGACATAGTCTCCTAGTAAATTAGGTGTTCCTACCACAATTGGATATATGCAGCCCCCTCCCTGCCCAATACTAAAACTTGTCTGTTGTCCTCCACAGTGTCCTTCTATATCAACTAAAACTCAGTACCTTCCTTAGCTGTAATATTAGTGCTGATGTATGATTGATTGTATAGCATCCTGCTTCTTGGAAGGGTGCCAGCATCAGGGGTTGAACCTGGGACTTCTGAGGCTAAAGCATGCAAACATACTTCCCCAACTGAAGGCAGCAGGAGCTAGGCACTGTTGCTGGAAAAAAGGGGAAGAGAAATTGTCTTCCTGCTTTCACTTCAGTTCATGTATTAAAGCTGTTTGTACATGCTAGGACCTCATGGCCTCTGCTGTATCCAACTTTCCAGATGAATAATGGTTGCTCTAACAGTGTAATAGATCTAATTAGCTAGAACCCTTCACCTACCTTTTGAATGATAATTACATGAAATGGCCAGTCATCAACTATTCCTGAATTACTTTCTCTTAGCAGAGTGTTCACAGTTACAAGCACAGCTCTTGCTTCCACTGCAGCCATAATGGAAGAAATTACATTTGTGTAACATACAGACACAAACTATGTTGGTTTAGTATTTATTATAATATCAAAAGTATAAAACTGTACAAAATACAAAGGCAGAATGTGGCAGTGTTTTCTTTAAGCTGTCAAAACTGTACATGCTTTGTGTTAGGTTTGATTCACCATAATTGTACTTAAATCCAGCTGGTCATATTGAGAGCTAGAAAATTTCCTTGAAGTACCATTATGCAAAAAAAAAAAAATCCATAAAAATTTAATCTCTTTTTCTTTAAAGAAAATTTCCAGGTGAGCTTCCTAATGAATTTTCCACCCTTTATTTTGATATATAATGTCTGTAATATACCTTTACTCCAAGAGTTAGATGCAGAGAAGGGATGAGAGGGGAGGTAGTTATCCATTTACTTTACCTTAGAAATGTCAAGTCTTGATTTTATTTTCACTAAAGAGCTAGCAGATTGTTCAAGTGTCAAAGCCCTTACTAGAAAGTAATGAGGAACACAAAACAGATTTCCCTACATATAGCTTGTAAGATAAAAAAAAAAGGGACAAAAACCCCAAAACCATATCAAACTGGGCCCGTCTTTTGGTTGTGGTGTTTTCTGTTCAAAGACCCAGATAGAAGTTACACTTCCCAGTGTTTTGCATGTTTTATTCTTCCTTAGAAATAAAGCACTGAGCTTTATTGGTTGTCCAGGAGGACTTACTAGTGTACAATGTTTTTGTGGGTGGACATTGTCATTTCAGCAGGCAAGCTGGCCTCTCAGAAGCAAACTGGTAATACACTTTTACTCTGCAATAATGTTTCAATTTATTGGCTAGTTTTACATTTGATATATTAAACCTTATGCTGAAAGGTTTTTTAGGTTCTCTTAGATCTAATACAACATAAAAGGGTTTAAGTCCACTTTTTAAATAATGGATATTTCAGTTGCACCTTAGTCCTCTTTTTTTCCTATACAATGAAGTACGAAAGTAAATAAAGTTCACATTGCACTTCTGGTTGGTTCTCACACAGCATTGGCTACCTATGAGAACAGACTAACAAGATCTGTGTTTCCAATACCTTGGAACAGCACAGAAGTTTGAAATCTTTTCAGGACTTGGTACTTGGATGGATAAAACCCACATACGTAACTTTGTGGCAGTTCCCCACAAGCCTCTGCCTGTAGGACCTACTCTTTCAATGCCCTGTTTGTTGCTGTGATATTCTCACCATACCTGTTGTCCAGCCCAGGTTATAGTGAATTAAACTACATTCTTCTTTTGTGAAACTAAACAGTTTTTGCTTGTGTTTGAGATCGATGAAACATTTGCTAACCATAATTTAAGTGCTTTAAAAAAAAAAGTCATTTGAGAACACATACTAAGGCTGATAACTTTCCACAAGTTTCAGCAGAGCTCAATACCATCTCCGAGAGGAGACAGCCATTTTCATACTAGGTTTTTTTTTTTTTTTTAAATTAAAAGCACCATGAACAATTCCTTCTTTTACAGCCACGATGTCTTGTCAATCTCCAGCATTTTCAAACTGTGGATAAATATGAAACAGCAGAACTGAAAAACACTGCTTGCATTAGTTTACATAGTTCTGTTTTTCCTGTGACTAGTGGGATCCACCTTACAAGACATTCCTCCTTGTCTCACATCATGAGGTCACTATTGCAATGACTTGGCACAGTCAGTCTTGGAGCCTCCTGATTTATTGTGAACTGTAGGCTCCTGCAGCCAGCAGCAAGTTCCTGCGTGTAAAATGGAGGTGTACAACTGGGGTTGATTTGGTCATGTATGTACCTAGTAACAAGTCCTGTGAGTTTTCCGGCAAGTTTATATGTCCAGTGGCTGTAGTGAAGTCATCGGTTTCTAAATCTTCAAATGCCTTCACAGCATCCCACAGACGAACTGTGTTATCCATTGAACCTTAAAATAAAACAACAGTTTAAAGTCTTTTGTTATTAAAAAAGGCGTATAAAAAAGTTACTGGGGAGCAAGTTAACAGAAATTAAAGCTCAAAAGCAGGTTTGCTCATAACTGACTTATGCCCTCATCCTGCAAGGAAACAAGCCTCTAACATAATGAATGTGGAAGTTGCCAGGATTTCAGCCTTCCTGTAATCTAACCTGGATGGCCTGGGGATGAAGCACAAAGAAAATGACTCTCTCAAAACACTTGGGTTTGATTGTATCACCTAGCACTCTAAAAGCAGGACCATCCTGTGGGTTAGATGCCACTTTCAGGAAATGTTTACAATTCAAAGTCACAGAATTACAGTTTCTTTGTTTGATACAGGGAAGATAGCAGAATTCAGTACGCCCAGTGGCCTGTGCTTTCACTGGTGTTGGTAGATAAATTGAAGTAACCACCAAGCAGGCTGGATCAAACCTGTACCCTGTCTGTTAGTTTTCTCTCCTGCAGTAGTGGCTCACTGAGGATTCTCACTACACTGCATTTAGGAACATACTACTAAATAAATCTAGAATATTCCTAGCCTGCTTTCATGAGGAAATTACTCTGATGTAATTATGATGTCTATCCATCGTTTCTTCTGTCAGTAACTTGAACTTGTTGGCTATTTTTAACCAGCTGACAGAACTGAACAAGTTTCATATTCATTAAATTCCTATGCATTTTCAGAAAACAGTTCACTAAATGTGGAGAGACAAAACTTCATGCCTCCATGAAGGGAAAACTGGCAAAGGAGCTCTGCTGTATTAGACACCAGAGCATCCATGTGGATAGGCAGGAAAAACAAGCAGGCTTCACAAGTTCTGCAGTTCATAGACCTGATTGCCAGTATTACACACACACTCCTATATCAAAAACCTACTAAGAAATAGTAAGCGTGTGGATAACTCATCTTCCTTTCTATCCCTTCCTCCCTCTTTAGTCCTGCTGCATGCCCCACCCTCACTCCAACATCCTGCACCTCTCTAGTCCAGCCACTTCTTGTCTGCCCTACAGCTATTTCTAACTTCAGATTCCACTGCCAACACAGTACACAGATCCCAACCTTCACTATTCTCTAACTGCATAACACCTTTCCTTCAGTCCCTGGAAGAATGAGGGATCATACTGCACAGTCCAGTGAAGTATTTGCCTGGTTCTGTTTGAAGTTGCTGCTTTCGCTAAACCAGTGGTTCTATTCAGTCTTCCTCAATTTAAGGAACCAATTATATTATTCCTCTTCAGACTTACAGAACACAAAGGACACTTCACTGTTTCCAGTGAATTTTACCTGATGCTAAAATCTCCCCATCTCTACTGAATCTAAGCGCATAGATAGTGTCAGTGTGCCCTTTCAGTTCGCCGACCATCAAGCCATGTCCAATATCCCACAGCAGAACTCTTCCATCTGTTGCTCCAGTAGCCAGGAATCGTCCATTAGGAGAAAATGCCAATGAATGAATTGGTCCCTAAAACAGACATTTGGGGGGGACCAAACAAGTTAATTAAGTCTAGTCACATTCAGTTAAGTCATATTCGTTCTGAATGTTACTCTTCAGAATCTCATTACAGAAATAAAATCACTTTCATACAGTGAGTGATATGCCTTTACCTTATGTCCAGTGAATATTCTTACACAATTCCCATTCAAAACATCCCAGAGCCGTATAGTCCTGTCTGCCGAGCCTGTGGCAATATAGTTGGAGTTTGGATGAAATCGTGTACATGTCACATCAGCAAGATGGCCAGCAAATATCCGTAAAGGCTGGTAGTGATCCGTTGCCCACAGACTGAAAATAAAAGCTCTGTTAATAAAAGAACTCAAAGGAAGTTTAGTATCTGTACCTGTTGGAGCAGGTCCAGAGAAGGCCACGAAAATGATCGGAGGGATGGA